ACATCCAGTCCAGATCCAACTGTCGAGGGGACTGACTGAGTGGCCGGCCTCCAGCTAAACCCGGCACACAGCAGGGAGGAAGACCATGCTCGGCGACTGAGAAGAAGAGGAGGAGGAGGCTAATGAGGCCTGATCAAGCTCAGCAATGGGTCACAACAGAGACAATGAGAGCAGAACAAAAAAAAATCCAAGCAGTTATAAAAAGCTCAAAGAAAAAACAACAACAACATGCTTTTCTCATTGTGTAAGGTGTGCAAGCTTCATGCATGACAAAGAACATTGTGGCCCACGCAACATGCACTGACATGCACAAGTAGGAGGTATCTTATGTCCACAACACAGAAGTTTGAATATTTCATGTTTTATTCACCAAGTTAATCATTTGTATTTTCTCTAACTGTAATCAAACAATGAACATGTTAAACAATCAGGAGTAAAATGATGATTTTAGTCCATTACAGGACCGGCTAAAAGCATCACCAATAGATGTTTAATATTCCTTAAAATTTGACTCTCTGCACATGTGACAGCGCTTCATTAAAGTCATTTTGAATCTGAAGTCAGTTTTAGACTCATTTTGCTCACAAAAGCATTGTGTCGTTTAATAATAATGTATGCGATCTATAATTATAATTACAGGCAACATCAGTGGTCCCACTCATGGTCTGGGGTTTGTCATAGTTTCCATCAATGACTTCTGCTAAAAATGCTAAAAAGCATTTACAAATATTGTTTCATTTCCTTTTTTGCTGAGTTTATATGTTTCCTTCAAATAATTAACGTGTCTTTTGTACAGTAAAAATATTTCCCAAAGTAGGGCAGTGGGTGGAGTTTTATATGCACTGAGGCTGAATATCTTGAATGAAATAACTGCTTGTTTTAATGTATCTATCTGATAAACTTAGTACTTTTTTCAGTTTTACATTTCAGGCAGACAAAAAAAGTTTTTTTTTTACTCAAGTTAAAGCTCCTAATGTATATAAATGAACTATTTTACAATCATGTCAATTTTGTTTACACAACACAACTTAAACTCTTCCTATTATCTATAAAAGGACCTCACCGGGACATGACCTTGATGTCTTCAGCAGTAGTTGGTCATGTGTAAAGACACAGCGTCTCTGTATTCCATCCTGCTTCCTTTCTTTACTTTATGTTGGCCTGAAAGTACAAAAAACTAAACAAAAAAAATAGATCCTGAACATAGTGGAATCAGCCTCTTTAATATCGTCCAGGTACATATATGACCTCCGTTTCCTCAGTGAAAAACGTATCATAAATTTAACAAAAGCTTACATTAATGCCACTAATAAACTCAATAAAACACTGAAAGCTTTCCTTTTCTTTCTTGTTAGTCAATCGGGATCCAAAAATGTGGTCATGTCTGTGAACAGAGCTAAGGTATAAGGCTGGGAGCAGACCAGGTGATGGATAGCAGCAGGGCTTGTTGTCCTCTGCTTTACATGACTCTCATTAAGCTGTAAATCTTTCACAACAACACCCACTGAGACAATGCCACACAGGCTTCTCCTTGCTGCTCCACCTTGCCCTCGGCGTAACAATGAAACTGAATCACTTTGTCAGGACACACAATTGCCTCAGTGTTTCAGACAGCCAGTAAAAACGTTGGACAACACATCAGTGTGTGAATGTGGGTCTTTGGTGAATCATAACAGGCAATCATAATTATTCAACATCTCGATGGTATCTGAGATAGTCACCTGATGACACATATGAAAATACAATGTAGCAAGCTGATGTAGAAAAATTTGGAATTTTGTACAGTTATGTACCATTACTTGTGAAAACAGATGCATACTATAAATGTCTTATCAGCAAGCTGTACATGTTTACAGTGTAATTTGAGACAAAGTCGAGAAAGATATGAAATTTAATTCAGAGGACATGCAGTTAGATTTTAATGTCAAAAAACAAAAATAAAGAAAAAAGGTAAAACGACGGGAACAAAGTAGGAACACTAAACAAAGTATGATGCTATGATACTGTAAAGCTAATACGTAACACTGCTATTTGTTTTTGTAGATTATATACGCTGTAAAACTACAAGCTACAGTACTTTACTGTAATTGAACAAATTACTTACAGTAACTAAGGGCTGTGTGAGGTATAGACCGTAAGATAATCCAAAAAACAAACAAACAACCCTCTCAAATTTATATCTAAAAAATTATACAGTGCTTGCTGATAATCTCAAAAAATATTTGGGCCAGGCACCTCCATAAAAACAGAGACTGCTGTCACCTCCCCTCACCTATGGGCAGCTTTGCTCGCTCTTACTCGGAAAATCAGACACAGCCTTCGTGGGTGATAAGAATAAGTAGGTATACCTGTCCTACTAAACTGTACCACAGATAAAGAATCACGTGCAGCTAACTGGCACAGGATCATATTTGCACACGTGACTACTTTCTCGTTTTTATTAAATTCTGAGATCTGGAATATGAACTTTATTTTTGTCATTTTCGAGCTTTAGAAATTGCAGGTATTAAAGTTGAAGTATTTTCCTCCAACATGCAGTTTAATGATCACAACAGCTCACAGGTTTGTTTCTGTATGACAGGTTTTGTTTATGTGCCTTTGCATGTTCAGGTTCTCGCCTTAACAAAACCTCGACAAAGCTACACACTGACACCTGCTGGCAGAAAGTTTGTATTGCAACAACCAATATTAAAGATGGGAATTTGTTGCCCTGCATTAGTTCTCGCAGGTCGGCCTTCCGCTCCGTTCGTTTTGACCATCACAAAGGCGTTTTTATTTTATTTTATTTTATTTTATTTTATTTATTTATTTTTAGCATACACAAATAAGCCAACTGGGGTGATTCTAGGACCAGAGCTTTGGGGGTAAACTTTACTTGTCGCGATGAAACTTCTTTCCTGTCTCTGTCAGTCCCTGTCCTTAAATGTCTCCAGTTGTCCCGAGTTCTCTCTGACTGTCTCCTTGGTGCATTTACACCCCTGTTCCTCCCTGTCCCCGTCGTCTGTTGTCTTTGTCTCCGTTATCAGTCATCATAATTTTACCATCTCTGTGCAAGTCTGCAAATTTCTTTAATAAATCATAAGATTCTTAAATTCATCAAGTCTCTATGTGCCTGGGTCCTCGTCACAAAACACATCACTGTTTTGTACATTTTAACACAATTTAATCCCCACATTTGTGAAAGAAAAGCAAAACACTTTTTTGAAAAGTCTGTAACAAAACCATCAAATCTGATAAAGGTTATTTAAATGCTACAATAGACTACTACTGTCCAGGGTTCCTGGGTCGTTGACCCAGTGTTTTCCGTTTTGTCATCTTCAGTTTATTTTCACATCTGTTTTCTGTGGCAGCATACCGCCTGCGTATTGTGTTCCAGTTATTCCCACGTATCATTAGTCAGATTATGTTCAGCTGGGTACTCACCGGTCTTTCATTATCATCCTCACCAGTCTGTTTATTTAAGCCCTCTGTTTCTATTCGTTCACGGTCGTGTCATTGATGTTACGTTGTCCTTCCCGTGTGTTCCCTCAGTTCAGTCAGCCGTTCAGTTGTCTAGACAGTCAGTGTCCGTTCACCCACTCCCTATAATAAACCTTCACCTACCTGCCAGTCCTGCGTTTGGGTTCCTTCTTCCTCGCCTCCACACAACGCCTGACAACTACTGCAAAAGAAGAATGGATTGGAATAAAACAAATACATATCTAACCTAAAGTGCGCTTTTGGAAAACATTTAAAGCTGCTGTACAGAATCTTTGAAACAAGCTAGCTTAAAACATTTTTAGAAGATAAACAGGGAACTCTGCTTCCCCTTACAGCTCCTCACTCCACCAGGGCTCTGTTTGGCACTTTCTGATAGTGTGCAAATGTGATGCACGTACTGTAGTGCAGTCATACAGACAACTAGATGGTCCAAAAGTGGGCCTACCTATTACTGGCTGAGGTTTTAGTAGAGTTGTGGCTGAACCACATAAAAATATATAATTAATTTTAATCTCCCCAATCAATGATAATGTTATGTTGGAATGTTGTTAAAGAGGGTCAAAAATGTTTCAACCTGTGTTGCAAATTCTGTATAGCAGATGAAAAAAATACATTAATATGAAAAAAATACTATTAAGATAACTAATAATAAAGTCCTCACTCAGTGTACTTTCAACCAAAAGGCAAATAACCAAACCATCTAATAAAAGATATAGATATTGAAATAAATATTGAAACACTGATCCACATTGGTTGATGGATCATTTGATCTCACACTTTTTTTAACCTGAATCTGGCTCCTTTTTTGTGAAAAAACTTCCTTATATCCATTACGAACTTGGCTGTCTCTCTGTGCACACACACACACACACACACACACACACACACACACACACACACACACACACACACACACACA